GAGGAATGTTGCCAAAATCAATGTCCAAAAGATATTTGACACATTTGAGTTTTGCTTATTTTCAATACATGCACCCTAATAGAAGAAACAGGTTCTCTGCTAAATTGTCCTTTAACATATGTCATTCAAATTTTATATAATCATTCAATTGTTCAACAAGCATTTATCCATCACATACAATGTGCAGAATGGTATGAGGGGTAAAAGATAGCCTAAATAAATGGTGAAGGTACAGTTTTTGTTCAAAGAGCTCCCCATGATAGAGGAGCCAATAATATGTAATGAAAGCAGAAAGGTGTTAAGTACTTTAAGAATATGTGACGGAATTAACGTGTATCTCACATGGGCCCAAGTAAGCATCCAATGCATGTTAATCCTTCAGTTTGAGGGAAATATTATTTAAATAGGTGCAAAAAATTGAGAATCAGAAAAAAAGATGAAAAACCAGATGGTCAACAGTTAAGGCACTTTCTATTATACCAAAATAAGCTCTAAGAAGGGAAGGACGATTTTTTGTTGAGGGGATGGAATATGTATACATATGTCTGAGTATCATGGAATCATATTGGGAAGAATCCATAGGAGGAAATAGAAGAGGACAGGAGTAAAGGCATCCAGGATGGATGGGGCATGGCCAGGTGCCCACATGGGCTGTAAGGGGAAGTATGAGATATACAAATGTAAGTGGGTCCCTTCATGTCATGGAATCATATGAAAATTAACTTGTGCCATTTTGGGTTTTTAAATATAGGTAGCTATAATCAAGTTTTGCTGTAGGAGAGGTGGAATAAATGTGAGAAGAGGGGCCAGGGGGGTCAGTGCTCAGCAATGGGGAGGAGATGTGTGGTGGATTCAGGAGGAGACGTGAATGAAAGGGGCTATGCAGGAACTTGGAAAAGAGACACGTGTGGATGTGATGAAGATATTTAAGCTGGGAGGACTAAAAACTGTATTGATTGCAATGAAACAAAGTTATGAAATACCATTTCCCCCTAATTTCCAGGTAGCTCTTCATTCAGATCAAAACATGTTCTTTACCATGTAATCACATTATATCAGAAGCTGTTTGGATTTGTAGTAAGGCTTTTACATGCCTTTCTCATACTTAAATAGGAATATTCCCCTTTGCTGCACATTATTGCCAAAATATGACACATGGAAAAAACAGGCATTGAAAACCTAATAGTACATATTTATTTCTGGCCCTAGGAAAAAATCAGAATTATAGTTTTTAAATTTACTTAAAGCTCTGGGAATCACTTTTATTCAATATATTCACTTCTGGTCAATTCTAATCTTTCAACACAGCTTTTATTTCTGAAAATGGGCTCCATTTTCCCCCACCCTTGCCCAGAATTATAGTGGCGTTAAATCATCCATGCAATTTTTAAACATCACTAACCCAAGGGCTTAAGAACTTTAAGTGTACAGACATTGAAGAGAGTCTTTACCTAAGAGAAATCCGGGTGTGGTGCAGGTAATAATGCTGTAACTGACTTTTCTAACACACTAATTTCTCAAAAAGAGTATGACCCCTGTAAAGTATACAAAGACATGGCAAAAAGTTTTTGAGTAGTGATATTTACTATTACGTTAACACTTAAAATGGCTAGTTTTAAAATTTTGTTATATCATTTATATTGAATTAGACATTTGCTTTGGGGAGTACTTGTATATGCTCTTTTCTCTTGATAATATCTTAGGTAAAAGAAGTCCAATAAATGTACCATTTGTAAGAAATTCAGAATATCAACCTTTATCGTCTTTGCTAATTCATTCTTTCGGTATTTGCAATAATAATGATTAAGTAAATGAAGTATATGATGTTAAGGAATCTTGTCATCTTTATCCCAAATCAACTTGGTTTTAAGTAGGATGGAAGTATCAGATAAAATTGGATCCAACAGCTACTTTCAATTAACATTTAATGATTCTGTAATTTCAACACATTTTTTTATGCAGTTAGAATGATACATTCTTGGTAAAATAACTGCCACTTTCTGATTTTTCATATGCCTGTACACACATGCAAAGAGAGAAGAAAGAATTAAACATAAAGATCTGCCCTTATTTTTGCCAGGGTGTGGGTGTACCCTCCCTACCTTTTCCCCTTCTGTTCACACCTGAGCTTGTTGTAATCTAGGTTCTGTACAGACAGAATGAATTTTACGAGCTGCATTGGAAATGCATGCCTGTGCACACCAGCACCCACACAACTTCCTCTGGCACACTAACTCCCAATACATACATGTTTGATTCTTTCATTGTTTATGCCCTTCCACACCCACCACCAGTTGACACAATGAAGTGATTCTCACTTTTAAATATGTATCTTCCTTCTTTCTCCTGTTTTTCATTCTGGGGAGTTGCCTTAATTTAACATTTATATTCTTTTTAAAAATCCTCAAGTGTTTTCCCCGCCCCCAATACTGATGCATTTCCTTCTTTTAACCACACTATTCAGATCCTATATATAAACTTTGACCTACCCTCTAATTTCCTGTCCCTTTGGAATGGATTCTTGTACTTTATTTTCTATCTTTCATCATTCTATTTACATGCCCGCGGCCGCTGCCCTAGCAGGGAGTGCAATTTGGCGTGTTTTTCCACGTGCAGAAGCCCTTGCTATTAGGATATATTTATGGTCAGTCCGCAACTCAGCTCTGAGAAAGAGCTGTTAGTCCAAGAGCTGCCACAATGACATAATTTCTCATCGCATCCTGCCACTCTTAGAGTTAAACTCACTTCCGTCCTTCCCTGCCCCACCTAGAGGGAAGCATTATAGCGTTTCTAGTAGAAGCAGGTTTTTCGTTTCAATATTTTGCATTTGTTGATATTCTACCGTTTTCAAACTTGTCTTTTCATGTTGTTTCTATCCCGTTGTACCGGAGCCTAACGGACTGTTTTCCCGGTGCCCAGACTCAGCCCGGGGGGCGCGGCCCGGAGCTGCTTTCCCGGGTACAGACACACCCCCTCACGCCACGGTCCGCTTTCCCTCCGAGTTCCTCGCTCTCCGGCCGCGCCCGCGTCTGCAAATGTGGGCTTCCATCTCCTTTGCGCTCCCGCTGCTTTCCTCCTCTAAGGATACTTCGCTTATGTCCACAGTTTTCAACACTTTCACTTATGTCATTTGTTCTCCGAAACCCTAGGATGAGGTCAGACACACCTTCTCTCGGTTCTGTTTTACGGAAGACACAGACCAACGGATTCATCCTGTCAGGGCCAGAAGTGGGCTGTGCAATCACCTTCCAAGCCGGACCCCCTTTCTCGTCTTCCTCACACGCAGACGGTGGCAGGAGGCCGAGGACGCACCAGGCAGTACGCTGCCTTTGTTTTTATTGATAACGCACTCGGGGCCTTCGGAAGTGTTTGGAAAATGCCACACAAAATGTAGAAAGAATGCGGCTTTTTCCTGGCTAGAATTCGATCCTTCGCTCTCATTTCCTGTTTCTCGGCCTCTCCCCGGTTTCTCTTGCCATCCCACTTCTTGTTACATTACTGCAGATCTTTCTCTCTCAACATAAACTTTCCCTTAGCGGCCTTCCCACCAACTGGGCGGTTTCCCACGCTGGGCGGGCTCAGGGGAACCGAGCAGGGGCGTTTGGCCCGCCCGGGAGCCCCAGCGCGCTCACCTAGGTTTGCAAGAAAGTGCCGCACGCAATCTCCACCGAGGGCCGGCGCGCACGGCCAGCCCACTTCCCCCACCCGCTCGTCCGCCTCCGCCAGTCTCCTCCCCGCCCGTCCCCGGCGAGCCCCTGACCCTGCGCCCTCCGGGCAGCCGCGGGGACGGCCGGGCCGCACCGCTACCTCCTCTCGGCCGCCCCGGAATCCCGTGGATCGCTCCCCTGGGCTCGGAGGCGGGGCGGGAGGGGCCGCCGCGAAGGCGTCAAGGACTCGCTTCGGGCCGCCCAGATCTCGGGGCACCCTTCTGGGGCGCAGGGCGGGGGGTTAGACTCCACTTCCCCGTCTCCCCCACAGCCCCCGCGGCCTCGGCAGGGGTCTGCAGCTCCCGCTTCCTTCTCCTCCTGCAAGTTCCCCAGCTTCCCTACATAACTAGCGCGAGGGGACACCCCTACTCCCGCAGCTCCGAAGCGAGGCGACCGTCTCAGCCTCGCCCCCATTCATCCCTCCAAGGTGAGGCGCGGCGAGGGAGGACGCCCCCACTTCCCTCGCAGCGTGTACCGCTCCTGAACCCAAACAATGATTCCCCCCTTCCTTCCCCGCCCAGCCCTCCGCCCGCCCCACCCTCGCGCGCACCCCTGCCGACAGCCCCTACCCGGACCTCATTGTTGCCCCGCGCGGGCGATGCCCGACGCCTCGGGGCGGTCCCCGGAGAGGCCGCGCCGCCAGCCCCGCTGCCTCGGCCGGCCGCCCCAGCCGGCTCCGCCCACACCTTTCCAAGTTAGCTGGCGGGCGAGCCGCGGGGACAGTTCGGGCTCCGGGGCCCCTCCCCGCGCGCCCCCACCCGGCGGGGGCGGAGTAGGGGGCGACCGGGCTCCGCGCTTTATTTGTCTCCGAATTCTCTTCCTAAGGCTGCCTTGCACGCTGTGACACAAAAGAGGGGACTTTATCGCGGCTCAGCGCGAGTCCCCGCGCCCGGCGAGTTGAAATCCGGGGTTTCCTCCCGCTGCCAGGCCCCGCCGGCTCCCGGGGGCCGGCGGCTCCCCGCGCCCGGTGGCCATGTGTAGGTTATTTTGGGTGCCGCAGCAAGGTGGTGCAGGTGAAAGGGAAGCGCGGCGGAGGCCGGAGGCTGGGGGCGGGGGCGGGGGCGAGGGTGGGGCGGGGTGGGGCGGGGTGGAGGCTCCGCGGACCCACCCCCAAGCCCGGCGGCCCGGGCGGCGAGGCGAGGGCCGGGCAGTGGGTGTTGCCTTCTACCTCTGCGAGCGGGGAGGGGTTAGTTTCCCACAGGGGATTTCAACCATCACACTCAGAGCCCGCCTCCTAATCCTCGGGCGGAGCGGCTCGGGGGCCCCATTTTATGGCAATAAAGCGACTTAGCGCCTGCTGAGCGAGCCCCTCCCCGCCGCCGCCCCCGCCCTCGGCCCCACCCCGGGGCTCGCCCGCAGCGGCGGGGCTTTGTTTCTGGGGAGGAGAACCCGGAGCTCTTTTGTTTGGGGGTTTGGTGTTTTCACCCCCCCACCTCACCCCGCCCCACACCCCCCCGACCCGCGCCTCTCCGGTTTCCTGAGCTGCGGGCTGCGAGGGAGGAGCAGCGGCGTCTTGCAACCCCCTCGGCTGGGCCCCGGGGTAATTCGATGCGGGCCTGGCGAGGCTCCCCACGCTAGACCGGGGCTCGCGTCTCGGCAGCCTCCACCCACCGGCCCACCCTACATTTAGCGCATCATGTGATCCGGGTAAGTCATTTGCAAGTACAACAGTTCCCTGGGTTGCCCCCCATTCATTTCCTGAGAACTGCAGAGAGCAGCTGAGAGGCTCTGCCTGTGCGTGTGCGAGTGTGCGTGTGAGTGTGCGCGGGTGACGCCGTGTGTGTGCGAGTGAGTGTGTGCGCGCGCGCTCGTGTGTGTGAGAGAGAGAGAGAGAAAGGGAGAGAGGGGGACTCTGTGAGGGAAAGAAAACAATTTCTCCTGCTCTGCAGCTTCTGTTCAGGTCTGTGCCGATTCCGTTTCTTATCAAAATAAACAACCCCCTCCTCTCTCTTTCTCTCTCTCTCTTTTTTTTTTTTTGCCATCCCAAATCAGACCGTATTCTCTTAACATGTTTTATTTTCCTTCTGTCATCTGCTCAAGTTAAATCATTTTGGTTGGTCTGTATTCTTAAAGGGGGAAAGTGTTGGGGAGCGGGAGGGGGCCCAGGGAGGGCGATGCTATTGCAAAGCAAGTAGCGTCCGCTGGATTCGTGGAGAAGAAAGAAGGAGCCCCTCTCCCTAATATTTTTTTTTTTTTCCTAAAAGAACTTACCAAGTAACGTGAATTAAGCAAATGTTTTTCTATCCCTAGTGGAATTGTTGGTTGCAGTGTTTGCCTGACAGTTGCCAAGGATGAGAAATAAAACACCCGGGCTGAATTGGGGGGTGGGGGGAGGGCTTGTGGAAGTGTTGATAGTTTGCCCCCACGAATGGAGCGAGTTCGGTGAATAGCTGCCGCACCGGGCCGGGTGGGCTGTGGGTGTGCGCTGGAGGAGCGGAGGGGAAGGGGTTAAGGCGGAGATGACACCGCTGGCATGAATAGTGGTCCTGGTGCTACATTCATTATTGTCTCTGGTCGTAATGATGGGTAACTGTCACTTGCTACAGTGCTTCGTCCGTGGAAGTAGCCACGGGCTGCCCCGTGGCTGTTATTTTCAATTACGGGGGACCGGCCGGAGTTGACAAGGGGCAACTTTGCACGTCCACCCTGGCCCGGAAGCCCGCCTGGCCGGCCTGGGAGCCACTTCTTGCCTTAGAAGCTCGCTCCGAGGACTCGGACTTGACCTTAGCGACATTAGTTGGTGTTCTTGTTAGATGCTCCCCTACGGGGAGAAGCAATCCTGCTTTTGTTGGTTAGAGAGCTGCCTATTAGAACTTTGAAAACTTTTATCTTTGGGGAAAAGGGTGGGGTGCACTCAACAGTTCTGTTTCGAAGTGTATTTGAGGCAAATGCTTGGAAAAAAGTACCAATTCCTTTGTTATATGCCCTGCAGCTTCCCAACCCCCTTCACCCTGCCTTTCGAGTTTTGCATACTTTTAATAGTAATAGCCTTAATTCAGTTGATGAAAGCTGACTGTGTAGAGTTAGAGTATTAGTACGACGGAATGTGTGATCTGGATAAACAGTTTGTGTGGTTAATATTGTCAGCTCTCTAATTTAACTGTACGGATGGTTTAAGTATGGTTCTATATGGATTGTTTTAAGCAATTCCGCTGGCTAATAGAATTCTCGGCGGAGCACTCGGATATTTTATTTTAAATCAGCTTTAGTATTCTCGGTTCCCCTGTAACACCGGGGAGATGAACAGCTCTATTTACATTTAGTGCATGTGCATCTAGTGGCTTCGGTAGACATCTGCCAATCAAATACACGTCATTCTGCAAATCCACCTAGTCGCCACCATGCCCTTTTCTTACTGGAGGATAGAGTTGTTTAGATGAGTAAATGCTTTGAAATACATTTGGTGGCTTTTTATGGGCAGCAGCTTGTGATGGGGATAGGAGTGGTCACTTTGGAGAGTGGGTTATACCATCTTCTGAGAATTGCTCTTTGGAATTGGCATTTAATAAAAACAGTACCGTTCCCCCCCTCCCCCACCCCCCACCCCGCCAAAAAAAAAATTTTTTTTGCAGACCTCATTCAAATGTTGTTTACATTTTGAAAAAAACACATAGGAATTGGTTATGATAAAGGGGTGTATTTTTAGGCCAGAAAATGTTTAACTGTAGAAGCTGAGTAGAAATAGGATGTTGAAGGACGAACATTTCAGTTGCGTAAGTTATTCTTTATCACTGCAGCCCGCTCAATCTGGAGACTACCTGGAGTATATTAAGCTGCTTTGAGTTGGGGAGAGAGCAATTTGAGGATACAAGAATTGGCAGAAATTTGTAGTGCTTTTAGGAAAGAGGTTTATTATTCCACCTTCTAATTCCTAAGAATTATGAAATATACTTAAGCTGGGAAAATTTGGAATGTTTTCACGTAAAATTTTCATAATTCATGAACTAAAACTGTGTAACTAACTAGTGTAGCTGCGCCTGGTAAACAAAACATTCTCGAGGGGTTTCTGTTTATTTGTGAAGTACTTCAGTTATTTATTAATGCATATTCAAAAGACACTTCGGTCAGTTAAACTACTTTGGAGAGCTTTATATTACTATTTATTGAATGAAAATTGTTGTGCTAATGAGTCCTTTTCAACAACTGACTGTCATTTGGGAGAAAACTGGTCCTGGTATAGCTGTTGAGACCTTGACCTTAGCAACTCCTGGCTGGCGGTTGTTTACTACAGCTGCAGCCTGCGTGTGTCCAGACAGGGAAGGGACTGCAAGCCCTGGTGTGCTCACTCTCCCCTGGCCAAGGAAGAACAAATGAGGATGCTTGATGGGCATTGCTAAAAGCGCACAGCAGGCACATAGCAGTGATAGTGTTCCGGTCATTTAAAAATGCATGCAGTGTGTTCCTCAGGGATTATGTCCCTACCTCCTGGGAAAGGTAAACGTGGACTTTCATGGACTCAGTGAGTTTTAGATGTCATATCATGCAGCAGGCTGTTACCAACTTAATGAGATAATTTGCTCTTACATAGAGGGTTTATTTATTTATTTTTAAAAATCTCTGCAAAGACGCATAATGTGTCTCTAAGCCTAGGCTTCCAGGCCTATACTGAGGACATTTGGAACTCAAGCCAGTGTTGGTTAATCTAGTATAGAGTAACCTTATCAGTGAGATGATGTTGTTAAATTGTTGAATATATAAAGGTCCCAGACATTTTTACCATTGTACGTAATGCAAAGTGTGGAATTTCATATTTATGCAAATTAATATTAGAATATTCACATTAAAATGAGGGTGTCAAACAGTTTGTTTTCTATATATTGTGAAAGAAACACCCCTAGAGGGTCACATTCATAAATCTTGATGTTGTTGATGTGATACAAAGTAGTTCATTGTACAAAACTAGAAATAGCACAAAATTGAAAAGATTGAAAAGTTTTTTTGTTTTTTTTTTAAGGTAAGTTTTCCAAACTGTGCTTCCATATTGATTAATGAATCAGAGCCCAAAATCCCCAGTTTTATTCAGACTGGACACCGTGGTTACCTTTTTCTTTTAGAAAACAACTTTAATTTTTGTAAATAATTCCTAAAATAGGTTTCAGTAGCTTACCTCTTTCATTTACATTTTGATAATAGAGTGGAAATACCTATATCTTGCCCAGTGTTTGTTTATTTTCCATTAAAAAATTCTTATTTGTTCTTAGTCTACAAGTTATGCCCAGTTTTCAGTCTTAAGTATGTACAAAATGTTAGGATAAAAATATTAAAATTAAATACTGGCAACACCCTGTAGCCACAGCTATAACTCATCCACCACAACTACCCCTCCCAAAATCAAAATGCATGTAAACAGATGGGCCTTGCCCTGTGCCCAGAAGGTCAACGGCCGTAGGTTCTATGAGACCTGCTCCGTGGTTTGTGGGTCCCAAGCCTGTCCAGAGGACTGTCTGACTTCAGCTGGCCAGAGTTCATGTTCTGGGCCTAGACCAGCCACACCCGGTCTGATGTCAGCTTTTGAGTTCTGTGGTGGAGAACACATGCTGTGGATTAAATGGTTACTTTCTCTATATATTCTCGGTAATTATGTTACAAAAGGATTTTTCGGTTTTGGGTGTTTATTGTCATAAAAGTGGCTACTTGAGTAGTCATACTGTTCCATAAAAATTTGTTTTGGTCTGGCAGTAGATTACAGGATATTCACTCAAAGAATTCTGCCCTGGTATGGACTTTCTTTCCCCAGTTCCCCCCCTCCATTTAAAGTCCTACTTTTATTTTATTTTTTGTTAATTTTGTGGCATATATATTTTAAATGTTTTTTAGTATAGTAATTAGACTGATTCCAACAGTATTACTATTTAGATACACGTGCACTAGCAGAAAGCCCCTGTTGCTTGCTGTGTTGCTGCAGGGACGATGAGGGGAGAAAAAGGGAGAGCTCTGGGATAGTTTTCCTGCCCCCATCGGAGGCTATAGGAGCTGCCAGCTATTAACTAGGTGCTGGCCTAGACACCCAGGGGTTGTGCTCCACGTGCTACAGTCACCATGTTTATCAGCATACAGTAGTCCCCCCGTACCTGGGGGGGATATGTTTCAATACCCCAGTGGATACCTGGAAGGTGGGTTGTATGGAACACCACGTACACTGTTTTCTCCTATCCATACGTATCTTTTCACTTAAATGGGAGCACTTTCTAGCTCCCCTTTGGCATAGCCTGATTACTATCATCGCTGCTCTGGAACTCTGGGGCCCTGAGTTCAAAAAGGGTTCCTTGAACGCAAGCACTGGGGTACCCCAATAGTCGATCTGATTGCCTGGAAGGCTGCTGAGTGACTAAGGGGCGGGGAGCACAGACACTGTGGACAGGGGGTGGGTCGCATTCTGGGCGGGATGTCGAGATTTCATCATGCCATTCAGAACAGCACATGATTTAAAACATTAATTGTTTACTTGTGGAATGTTCGTGTAGTGATTTTTAACCCAGGGTACTGAAATCTTGGAAAGCAAGACCATAGGTGAGAGGGCCTCTGTATATGGCTTTTCAATGTAATTTCTGGCGTGGGGTGTGTGTGTGTGCGCGTGTGTGTGTATGTGTGTATGTGTATATATATATGTATGTATATATTATGTATACCTATATTCACCATTTAATGCATGTATATATGTGTATGTGTATATAATATTTATGAATGTTTTTTATTCTTTACCTGTATTTGTACATACCCCCTATACCATATACATTATAACCAAGAATTATAGTAAAATGACCCCCCTTACATAAAAAAGGGGGGAAACATACAGTTAGTTTTTTCAAATTCTATGTTTAGTAATACTACTGCTGCTTTTTTTTTTTTTTTGATTGACAAGGAAACTCATTACAAAACATGGAAACAACATTGCTCCCC